CTCCTCCGCTCCCACCGCCACCGCTGCCGCCGCCTCCGCCGCCACCGAAGCCCCCACCCCCGGCACCATTCCCACCACCACCCCCACTCCCTCCACCTGTTCCACCTCCACCTCCACCGCCCCCGCCAGCCTCTCCAGCGCCCTTGCCCCCCTTGCCCTTGCCGGTTGCGGCGACGCCCGCTAGGGGCAGACGCAGCGCCGACCGACTCGGTGCCAACAAAGTCGACGGTAGCACCTGAGGCAATAGAGGGCAAAAGGGGGGAGGGGGAGCACCCCTCAAAGACAGGGGCACGCGGGTCACCTCGAGAGGCTCCTACAGCGACTATACTCTTCTCTGCTGCCAGGAGGTGCTCCTCGAGGAGGTCAATGGTGAGTGTGGTGGGGCAAACAGAGAGGAAGTGGTCCCTGACCGAGCTAAGGGAGTCAGGGAGCCGGGTGACTATGTAGTAGAGGGTGATGTACATGGGGGGGGGGTTCTTGGCGCAGAACTCAGCAGGAAGCGCAGCGCGGTAGCGGGTGTCACTAGTGCGAAGGTGCGTAACGAGGTCAGCGACAGTGGGAAAGGCGGCGAGGTCAGGAAACAGGTACGGCAATATGAGGCGGCTAAGAGCAGCAGTGGCAGGGGAAGAGTAGCGTGCAACTACACCGTCGTACAAGGTCTTAGCACTCTTGTACTGACTAAAGTGTGCACGCTCAGCGGTCGGTAAGTGGCGACGCACAGCAAGACGGGCAACAGCATCGCGTGTGGCCCACGTGAGCAAACAGTGCTGTCAGCATTAGCAGGCGGGGCAGGAGAGACACCAGAGGTGAGATTGAACAGGGAGAGTCCGTCTGCCCTATCGCACTGTAGGAAGAGCTGTAGGTCATCGACCCAGACCTCGAAGTCAAAAGCACGACCCTCTGCATCAAAGGTAAGGACACTGGGGGTAGCCATGACAGCAGTGGTCTAGAAGGGAGTGCTCTCACCAGTCCGGGTGGGTAGGGCCGGGGCGCGCCGGAAGGAACAGGGCGGCAACCGCGGTGGCAGCGGCTCGGCAGTGGCTCGGTAGTGGCGGCTCGACGGCGGCCTCGGCGGCTCGGCGGCTCGGCTGCTGGGCGGCTCGGCGGCTCGGCGGTTAGGCGGCTCGGCGGCTCGGCTGCTGGGCGGCTCGGTGGCTCGGCGGTGAAGGGGCCGGGGAGGGGGCCGAAAGGGGGCACCGACGGGGCCGCAAGGGGCGGCGACGGGGCCGCTAAGGGCGGCAACGAGGCCACTAGAGGGTGGCGACGGGGCCGGGAAGAGCGGCGACGGGGCCGCTAGGGGCGGCGACGGGGCCGCGAAGGGCGGCGACGGGGCCGCGAGGGGCGGCGACGGGGCCGTGAGGGGCGGCGACGGGGCGGCGACGGGGTCGCGTAGGGGCCGCTAGGGGCCTCGAAGGGCGGCGACGGGGCCGCTAGGGGCGGCGACGGGGCCGCGAAGGGGCCGCGAGGGGCCTTGAAGGGCGGCGACGGGGCCGCTAGGGGCGGCGACGGGGCCGCGAAGGGGCCGCGAGAGGCCTGGTAGGGCGGCGACAGGGCCGCTAGGGGCGGCGACGGGGCCGCGAAGGGGCTGCGAGGGGCCGAGAAGGGCGGCGTCGGGGCCGCTAGGGGTGGCGACGGGGCCGCTAAGGGTGGCGCGAGGGGCCGTGAGAGGGGCCTCTAGGAGGGCTCGACAAGAGGGCGGCCCACGGGGCACGCCTCGGGCAGGGGTGACTCGCGCTCCAGTCAGAAAAAAAAATTCGATTTCAGTGGTGGGCCCTAGAAAGCGTTCCCACTAGGGAACCTGCTCTATACCATGTGAAAAAATGAGGAATGAATGAACTAGCAAGCAGGTGGGTACAAGTAGGAAAACCTAAAAGTGTTGTACCCCATATTGTCTACCCCACTACAGCCTACACAGACTATAGCATATGAGTTTGACACCTTTTGCATCCGCCAACAACCCGCCCTACTTGCCACGTCACACCCCCATCAAGAGCCACGTCACCCCCCACCCACCTGAAATGCCTTGCTGCGTCATGCGCCGCACACGTGTACCCTTTTAAACAGCACGTCATCCCCAACACTCACCTTCCGCCACGTCACACCCACCTGCATCCGCCACGTCATTCCCAACCCTCACCTTCCGCTACGTCACACCCTCCTGCATCCGCCACTTCCACCAAACAGCCCCACGTGCCACGTCACACCCTCCTGCATCCGCCACGTCACACCCTCCTGCATCCGCCACGTCCACCAACAACCAGCCCCACGTGCCACGTCACACCCTCCTGCATCCGCCACGTCACATCCTCCTGCATCCGCCACGTCCACCAACAACCAGCCCCTGGTGCCACGTCACACCCTCCCACCCCATGCCACGTCACCCCCCACCCACCTGACACGCGTCGCCTTGTCACGCGCCGCTCCCGTGTACCATTCCAAACCGCCATGTCTGCCCCAACCCTCACATTCCGCCACGTCACAGCCTTTTGCATCCGCCAACAACCCGCCCTACTTGCCACGTCACACCCCCACCAACAGCCACGTCACCCCCCACCCACCTGAAACGCTTCGCTGCGTCATGCGGCGCACACGTGTACCCTTTTAAATAGCCACGTTATCCCCAACACTCACCTTCCGCCACGTCACACCCACCTGCATCCGCCACGTCATTCCCAACCCTCACCTTCCGCCACGTCACACCCTCCTGCTTCCGCCACGTCCACCAAACAGCCCCACGTGCCACGTCACACCCTCCTGCATCCGCCACGTCACACCCTCCTGCATCCGCCACGTCCACCAACAACCAGCCCCACGTGCCACGTCACACCCTCCTGCATCCGCCACGTCCACCAACAACCAGCCCCCCGTGCCACGTCACACCCTCCCACCCCATGCCACGTCACCCCCCACCCACCTGACACGCGTTGCCTTGTCACGCGCTGCTCTCGTGTTCCATTCCAAACCGTCATGTCTGCCCCAACCCTCACATTCCGCCACGTCACAGCCTTTTGCATCCGCCAACAACCCGCCCTACTTGCCACGTCACACCCCCACCAACAGTCACGTCACCCCCCACCCACCTGAAACGCCTCGCTGCGTCATGCGCCGCACACGTGTACCCTTTTAAACAGCCACGTCATCCCCAACACTCACCTTCCGCCACGTCACACCCACCTGCATCCGCCACGTCATTCCCAACCCTCACCTTCCGCCACGCCACACCCTCCTGCATCTGCCACGTCCACCAAACAGCCCCACGTGCCACGTCACACCCTCCTGCATCCGCCACGTCACACCCTCCTGCATCCACCACGTCCACTAACAACCAGCCCCACGTGCCACGTCACACCCTCCTGCATCCGCCACGTCACACCCTCCTGCATCCGCTACATCCACCAACAACCAGCCCCCCGTGCAATGTCACACCCTCCCACCCCATGCCACGTCACCCCCCACCCACCTGACACGCGTCGCCTTGTCACGCGCCGCTCCCGTGTACCATTCCAATCCGCCACGTCTGCCCCAACCCTCACATTTGTGCCACGTCACACCCTTTTGCATCCGCCAACAACCCGCCCTAGTTTCCACATCACACCCCCCACCAAGAGCCACGTCACCCCCCACCCACCTGAAACGCCTCGCCCCGTCATGCGGCACTCCCTTGCATCCTTTCACACCGCCACATCATATCTCAACCCTCACCTTTTGACACGTCACACCCACTTGCATCCGCCACGTCCACCAACAACCCGCGCCACTTGCCACGTCATACCCACCCACCCCATGCCACGTCACCCCCCACCCACCTGATACGCGTCGCCTCGTCACGCGCCGCTCAGATGGAGCCTTCAAAACCGCCACGTTAGCCCCAACCCCGCCCTGGTTGCCATGTCAACCCCAACCCGCCCCATTTGGCCCACCACATACCGGGAATGGGTTTGTCTCCTGCAACACTAGCACTTGTGCCTTGTCCACGGCGCTCATCGGCGGCGGGGTACCAGCCATAGGCAGGGCTGCCGACCCGCCGGCATAGCTGGCACGTACTCCACAACGCAGGCCGAGCTGTGCAAGCATGGCGTACATCTCAGACCGCAGCGCCTGGAACTCCTCCCGTGTAACAAACTGCTCGTGCTCCGCACTTTCACCTAGGGCACCCATGAGCGGAGGAAAAGGGTGTGAAGAATCCCCCATCTGGCCAAGGGGATCAGCATCTTCTGCAGCACTCCCGTGTGCCCTCACACTATCACGCTGGCGGGAAAAGGGGAGCTCAGGGAAGGGATTGGTATAAGTGCCTGCCTGATGCCCGCGCGATGGACCGGCAAGGGGCGAGACCGCCCTGCCCCGGACAGGAGAAGCGTGTAGCGACCGAAATGGGTACGAGGGTGAGGCGAGTGGGGTTTGCGTGACGGGGGCTGGTGGAGGGGATTCGGATTCCTCTCCTCTTGGCGCGCCGGGTGCCGTTGCAGCGACCTTGCTCGGGCCGGTGTATGGCGTGTAGAACCTTGGTGCTCCTGTGGCTAGCGGTGTAACACTCGCTCTTCTGGCAGCCTTCGTTAGCTGCATCCGTTGCACGCTTACGGGTGGCCCAATGCCTGTAACGCGAGGGGCTGAGATATAGAGGGAGTAGGATAAAGAAATTAGAGTCGAACGGTTTCAATACAGGGCCAGACATGCATGCATAACATCAAAGGTTTGAATCTAAATCGGGTTTAGGGTTGTACTGGTTTGAGACAAGAGGGTTTACCTTGCTTGGTAGATTCTTCGACTCTCTCCTTCCCTGCAGGGGAGAAACAATGGGAAAAAATGGTGTTATTTGGCACGGTTGACCAGATGGTTCAACAACCACGCCACTTGTATTAGCCACAACGCTCACCTTTCTGTTGTCCCTTCAGTTTTGGGGCAGCCTGCACCTTCTCGTTGCCACCTTTCCACGGGGTGCTTTGGCGGACGCTGCGACGTTTACTGGCAGGTTCTTTCTTGCCGGTACCCACTAGAACCCCTTAGCCGCGGCCACCCTTTCCTCCTCCATCCCCTTTTGCTCCCTGGCTCCCTTGCTTTTTACCACCCCCTTCACTTTCGACCTTCACCTTACGCGCCTTCTGTTTGCCCGCTGCTTCGCCGCGCGCGGCGTCAACTGCCCCGCGTTTTCGGGAAGGGCGAGTTCGGCCCCCCACCTTCCCTGTACCACTCACCCGTCTGCCACACCCGCCCCATCCCTTCACTGGCGCCACATCCTCCTCCTCCTCCTCCACCTCCTCCTCCTCCTCCTCCTCCTCCTCCTCCTCCTCCTCCTCCTCCTCTGCTGCCTCCTCCTCCTCCTCATCCTCCTCCTCGTCGTCACCCTGTCCCTCCTCCTCCTCCTCCTCCTCCTCCTCCTCCTCCTCCTCCTCCTCCTCCTCCTCCTCCTCCTCATCCTCCTCTTCATCCTCCCCGCCATCATTCTCATCTTTTTCATCCTCCCCAACATGCGCGTCATCCTCCTCCACATCCTCTTCATCCTCCTCTTCCTCTGCATCCTCCTCCTCCTTCGATCACCAGGGTGTTCATCGCCTGTTTCTGCCTCGTCCCCGTCACTGCTTTCTTGCCTCTCCTTCCGCCGGATGTTTTTCTTGCTGCGGGTCGGCCTTTCTAGCGCAATGCTTGACCGCCCGCCTTGCCACTAGCTTCCTTGGCGCCTCGCGTTGTCCCAACTTCCGCGCCTGCGACGTCGTCAGCACTACCTGTCGTCTGCCGCCTCTTCGCTCGCGTGGTGAGGTCCCCGGGCACGGCGGTGTCATCATCGTCCTCCCCATCGCTCCTCCTCTGCCTACGCCTCCCCCGTCCACCAGAAGGAGGAGAGCCACCGACCTGCCCCTCCGACTCGTGCTCCCCCACCTTGTCCTTATCCAGCACGGCTGCAGAAACGTCGACCATGGTCGGCTGGAGCAGCGTCAGATGGTGTTGCGATGCCGCCGCCTCGGATTCCTTGGTTGCGGCATGCTCGGCGCGGGGATCGCCTCCGTGGTTTCCCCCTGTCGCTGATCCCTCTATCTCCGCCGACAATACAGCAAGACTCGCGCTCCCTCGCCCCGTATCTTTGTTGTCGCCAGTGGTGCCGTCAATACTCGGACCAGGCTCGATTCCAGCAGAGGCAACATCCGCTTCTTTGCGCACTGTAGAAACACGCTTGCGTGGCTTTGGATTAGGCCCCTTGTCTTCCGCTTTCTTGCCGGACTCCTCTTGACCGCGCTCGACCTTTTTTGGCGCTGCTTTTTTCTGCCCAATGCCTGGCGCGACGGACGCATTAGTTTTTTTAGCGCCGTCACCGCTCTCCCTATCTATCTGCTGAGATGTCCTCCTTGTCACGCGGCGGCCGGCCTGTTCCTCCACCATTGCTTGGTTACGTGTTGCACGAGTCATGGTTGTTGTAGGAAAGCAAATTAGCACATCGCGCGGAAGGGTTGTGCCGGTTTCGAAGGGGTACTGCAACGGAATCCCACGATGGGATTCTCGACGGTCGATCACTGTTATCTGTATCCGAAAACCGCTGCTTCATCTAAAACTGAACTAGTAGCCACTAAGCAGAGAGATATGGCCGCGACGGAGAGGCGTGTGTCAAACAGCAAGCAGCGTCAAAGTGTTGGACCAGAGAGTGACGGAAGCAGGTGGGCGGGGCACGAGGGTGGTTGGGGTGGGTTGCGAGACTAGAGAGATTACTGTAGCCCTATCAGGCTATATCGAACGGTGTACGTGTAGCCACCCTTGCATAAACCCACCTACCGCTCGATCTCAGCCGCTCATTGGCTGAAGTACCTCTTGGCTGGTGATTGTGTTGCGGGCCAAATCGTTTGAGATGCGTCGGCCAATCACGGTTGCCAACGCATCAATCACTACAAAAGGTACAGCGGTTGTGAAACGCCAAGTGCGAAATAAGTAAAATCCTTGCAAAGTACACTGTTGTCGCGAACGCACAGTGTTGCACATAGCAGCTAAATCAAATTCAAACATACAACAATAGATTTCATCAAATACTTAGTTGCAAATGGTTTAGTATGGGGCTGGGGTAAGTTAATCGGTGATTCTCGCGTCACACAGATGTACTGCGCACTTTTAGGCTTTGCCACATCGGTTTATCGATAGCGGATGACATTCTAACACGATGATCAATAGTAAACGAGAATCATTTGTGGTATGGTGATGGATAATCATCTATTCTTGCAAGGACATTCAACAAGGTGCTTAGAATGAGTGGTATGAAGCACCGGCCCTACGCACAAGCGGTGATGCGTTATTGACAGCCATGTTTAGACCGTGCGACGATGCAGCGTTCAGGTCTGCGGGTTGCGTGACATGGTGAATCCGTTTGCGTATGGTGATGGATCGTCATCCATTCTTGCACGGACATTCAACAAGGTGCTTAGAGGGAGTGGTATGAAGCACAGGCCCTACGCACAAGCGGTGATGCATCATCGACAGCCATGTTTAGACTGTGCGATGATGCAGCGTTCAGGCCTGCGGGTTGCGCGACATGGTGAATCCGTTTGCGTATGGTGATGGATCGTCATCCATTCTTGCACAGACATTCAACAAGGTGCTTAGAAGAAGTGGTATGAAGCACAGGCCCTACGCACAAGCGGTGATGCGTTAACGACAGCCATGTTTAGACTGTGCGACGATGCAGCGTTCAGGCCTGCGCGTTGCGCGACATGGTGAATCCGTTTGCGTATGGTGATGGATCGTCATCCATTCTTGCACGGACATTCAACAAGGTGCTTAGAGGGAGTGGTATGAAGCACAGGCCCTACGCACAAGCGGTGATGCGTTATCAACACCCATGTTTAGACTGTGCGACGATGCAGCGTTCAGGCCTGCGGGTTGCGCGACATGGTGAATCTGTTTGCGTATGGTGATGGATCATCATCCATTCTTGCACGGACATTCAACAAGGTGCTTAGAGGGAGTGGTATGAAGCACAGGCCCTACGCACAAGCGGCGATGCGTTATCAACACCCATGTTTAGACTATGCGACGATGCAGCGTTCAGGCCTGCGGGTTGCGCAACATAGTGAATCCGTTTGCGTATTGTGATGGATCGTCATCCATTCTTGCACGGACATTCAACAAGATGCTTAGAAGGAGTGGTATGAAGCACAGGCCCTACGCACAAGCGGCAATGCTTTATCGACAGCCTTGTTTAGACTGTGCGACGATGCAGCGTTCAGGCCTGCGGGTTGCGCGACATGGTAAATCCGTTTGCGTATGGTGATGGATCGTCATCCATTCTTGCACGGACATTCAACAAGGTGCTTAGAAGGAGTGGTATGAAGCACAGGCCCTACGCACAAGCGGTGATGCGTTATCGACAGCCATGTTTAGACTGTGCGACGATGCAGCGTTCAGGCCTGCGGGTTGCGCGACATAGTGAATCCGTTTGCGTATGGTGATGGATCGTCATCCATTCTTGCACGGACATTCAACAAGGTGCTTAGAGGGAGTGGTATGAAGCACAGGCTCTACGCACAAGCGGTGATGCGTTATCGACAGCCATGTTTAGACTGTGCGACGATGCAGCGTTCAGGCCTGCGGGTTGCGCGACATGGTGAATCTGTTTGCGTATGGTGATGGATCGTCATCCATTCTTGCACGTACATTCAACAAGGTGCTTAGAAGGAGTGGTATGAAGCACAGGCCTTACGCACAAGCAGTGATGCGTTATCAACACCCATGTTTAGACTGTGCGACGATGCAGCGTTCAGGCCTGCGGGTTGCGCGACATAGTGAATCCGTTTGCGTATGGTGATGGATCGTCATCCATTCTTGCACGGACATTCAACAAGGTGCTTAGAGGGAGTGGTATGAAGCACATGCCCTACGCACAAGCGGTGATGCGTTATCGACATCCATGTTTAGACTGTGTGACGATGCAGCGTTCAGGCCTGCGGGTTGCGCGACATGGTGAATCTGTTTGCGTATGGTGATGGATCGTCATCCATTCTTGCACCTACATTCAACAAGGTGCTTAGAAGGAGTGGTATGAAGCACAGGCCTTACGCACAAGCGGTGATGCGTTATCAACACCCATGTTTAGACTGTGCGACGATGCAGCGTTCAGGCCTGCGGGTTGCGCGACATAGTGAATCCGTTTGCGTATGGTGATGGATCGTCATCCATTCTTGCACGGACATTCAACAAGGTGCTTAGAGGGAGTGGTATGAAGCACAGGCCCTACGCACAAGCGGTGATGCGTTATCGACACCCATGTTTAGACTGTGCGACGATGCAGCGTTCAGGCCTGCGGGTTGCGCGACATGGTGAATCTGTTTGCGTATGGTGATGGATCGTCATCCATTCTTGCACGTACATTCAACAAGGTGCTTAGAAGGAGTGGTATGAAGCACAGGCCTTACGCACAAGCGGTGATGCGTTATCAACACCCATGTTTAGACTATGCGACGATGCAGTGTTCAGGCCTGCGGGTTGCGCGACATGGTGAATCTGTTTGCGTATGGTGATGGATCGTCATCCATTCTTGCACGGACATTCAACAAGGTGCTTAGGAGTGGTATGAAGCACAGGCCCTACGCACAAGCGGTGATGCGTTATCAACACCCATGTTTAGACTGTGCGACGATGCAGCGTTCAGGCCTGCGGGTTGCGCGACATAGTGAATCCGTTTGCGTATGGTGATGGATCGTCATCCATTCTTGCACGGACATTCAACAAGGTGCTTAGAGGAAGTGGTATGAAGCACAGGCCCTACGCACAAGCGGTGATGCGTTATCGACAGCCATGTTTAGACGGTGCGACGATGCACCGTTCAGGCCTGCGGGTTGCGCGGCATGGTGAATCTGTTTGCGTATGGTGATGGATCGTCATCCATTCTTGCACGTACATTCAACAAGGTGCTTAGAAGGAGTGGTATGAAGCACAGGCCTTACGCACAAGCGGTGATGCGTCATCAACACCCATGTTTAGACTGTGCGACGATGCAGCGTCCAGGCCTGCGGGTTGCGCGACATGGTGAATCTGTTTGCGTATGGTGATGGATCGTCATCCATTCTTGCACGGACATTCAACAAGGTGCTTAGAAGGAGTGGTATGAAGCACAGGCCCTACGCACAAGCGGTGATGCGTTATCAACACCCATGTTTAGACTGTGCGACGATGCAGCGTTCAGGCCTGCGGGTTGCGCGACATAGTGAATCCGTTTGCGTATGGTGATGGATCGTCATCCATTCTTGCACGGACATTCAACAAGGTGCTTAGAGGGAGTGGTATGAAGCACAGGCCTTACGCACAAGCGGTGATGCGTTATCGACAGCCATGTTTAGACTGTGCGACGATGCAGCGTTCAGGCCTGCGGGTTGCGCGACATGGTGAATCTGTTTGCGTATGGTGATGGATCGTCATCCATTCTTGCACATACATTCAACAAAGTGCTTAGAGAGAGTGGTATGAAGCACAGGCCCAACGCACAAGCGTAGATGCGTTCTCGACGGCAGTGTTTAGACAGTGCGACGATGCCGCGTTCCGGCCTGTGTGTTGCGCGACATGGTGAATCTGTTGTGGTTTGGTGTTGGATTGTCATCCATTCTTGCACAGACATTCAACAAGGCGCCTAGAAGGAGTGGTATGAAGCACAGGCCTAACGCAGAAGCGTAGATGCGTTCTCAACATCGCTGTTCCAACACGGCGACGTTGCAGTGTTCAGGCCCATGGCTTGCGGGACATGGTGAAACCGTTGTGGAATGGTGTTGGGTTGGGCTCAATTCTTGCGTGGGCCCTCGACAATGTGCATGGAGGGTGTGGCATGAAGAACTGGTCCAACGCACGAGCGGTTATGCGTTATCGACATCGCTGTTCAGACGCGGCGACGTTGCAGCGTTCAGGCCCGTGGCTTACGCGACATGGTGAAACGGTTATGGAATGGTGTT